TGACTTAACAAAAAGTCCTGTTAAAGAATCTCCAGTTACAAGGGAGAGTCCTGAGAAAGAATTTGTCCCTCCTATGCCACCCACAGCACCCATGCCAAGCACTGATCTGCAAGAAGGGATTCCTGAAAGACAATCGTCTGTTGAGAAAAGTCCAGTTGTCCCTGTGTTAACCTCAGTAGCCCAGTCATTCCCAACTCCAATCAAGAGTCCAGAGGCAAGTCTGTCCGATGATGATGTAGTATTAGGAATGACCCCAGACAAGAAATCTGTTGCATTTGATGACAGTCCTGATAAGACTTTTTCTCCATCATCTGACAGCTCAGATGAGGAAAGTTTATCAGAAAAGTTTCCACAACAAAAGCCTCCACCCAGGTTAGAAAGTCCAGTTAGAGAGCAGTCCAGCCTAGAAAAAGAAGGTCCAGTCCAGCATCCCTCCTCACAGAGTCCAACCAAAGTAACAGATCCGTCAGCACAAGAAAGCCATGTAGAAGCAGTGTCATTGCTAAGTGAAGATGTTAATGAAAATGCATCAATAACAAGTGGTGATTCAGAGAAATTCCCTGCACCACCTCAAGTTTCTAGTCCTGACAGAACATCAACAGCTGCTTTTGATAGTTTAGGGACCCAGGATGGAGTCCCTGTACCAGAAACACAGAATCAGCCCCAGGAGACCATTAATCCCCTCTATATGGTTGGAGACAACAGCAACCAGCAACAAAGTATGATGCAGGAGACCAGTACAACGAGTCAGGTGGCTTCTGTAGGATTATGTGGTGATCTCCCACCACCGCCTCCAGTAGAGGAAGATGAGGCTGCCTTTCCGAATGACCTGCCACCACCCTTACCGGAAGTGACGTCGTTCATGCCTTCTAATGATGCTTTGGCTGAAGAAGCACCACCTCCACCTCTTGTGTCCCCTTCAGATGTAGAAGGACTGGAGGATATGCTTCCTCTAGCACACATGGGGTCATCCTCCTCAGGTAGCACTGCAGGACAGCCAGGCAGCATTCATGGCAGCTCAGAGAAGGACTCTGACTCCCCCCAGGAATCTGAGGACACTCAGATGGAAGGCACCATTGTAGCAGATGACCTCCCTCCACCCCCAATGGCAACTACAACAGGGAGTGAACAGGATTCTGATGAAGAGCTTGACAATTCAGTATCCTCTGGTTATGAACATGGCTTTACTGCTGGGGGAATAACCGTCACAGTGAATCCTATGGCAGACATGGAGGAGACGCAAGAAGCCACTGACAGTTTACCTCCTCCTCCTCCCAGTGAACCCTCTCCAGTTGCCCCACCATCACCTATTGCTGTCTCAGCAGTAGTGACCAGTAGTGCAGGCAGTCAGAGTAGCAGTAATGGATCAGGGAGCCAAGACACAGGTAGTGGCAGTGTAGAGAGTGTAGTTACGGTAGAGTGTGCTGTGGCTGGAGACCCCAGGGTTCAAGACAGGCAACGATCCACTGACTCTTCTTCGAGTCCTGAGAGTCGTCATGTAGATCCCAATGAGCAGATAACAGAAGTATGAGGCAACACTGATGTGCATACAGCAACAGATGTGGCATAGCTTTAGGAATGTAGTTCCCTGTTGCTCAGGTTATCTTTAAGATATACCACATTGCCTACTAGATTTGGCAGCAGCTCATAATTTTTACACCAAACTGTAACTGGTATCTAATTCAACCTAAGTTGCAGCTAAGCAATTGTTAGTCATTTTTTCACAGAGTTATGTGGACCATCTTGATTACACAACGCTACTATGATAAGTAACTTTATTGGTAGCTGTTGGCTGTGAAATATAAATATCATATTTCCAATATAGCTAGGAACAATTTCCCTTGGTAGCTTAAATGAATTACTGCTGTCGGTTACATGCAAGTGTTATAACAAAGGACTGGCTTCACAGAGCCTTGTGAATATTTCCAGACATAAAATAACAATTTTAATCTACTTACTAAGAGATAGGTAAAAAATATTTCAATTACTGCCATTTTTACACCTTGTTATGTGATTCTTTTTCCCAACGAGGCAAGTATATGTTTAAGTGAATGAAGGCATGGATTTGGTATTTCAATTTTTACCCGGTTGTATATGGGTGTGTTTGTAAACTAGATAAACTGAAGTGCTACAGGAGTAATTTTTGTAGGTGTGGCTCATGGTAGTTAGTATGGATTTATGTGGTGTGTTCATGTTAGCCAACAAGGGGCTGCGGCATCATGTGCGGTAATAAACTTTTGATATTAATCATGTCGCTCGTGGACAAAAGAATTGCCATGATAAATTCTGTATGCAGTTTGTTGCCAAAGTTCCTGTTTTTGTGACAACAGGCAGGTTGAAGCTTTATAAACTTAACAGTGTTCAGTATATGTAATGGTAAGTTCTATTTATGGTACTATAGGGTTGTAGTCAGCAAACATGTTTTAATGCATATTTGGACATCATTCAACACAGCATTTTCTCATCCAGTATTGATACTCAGCAGATATTAATCTTTCCAGTGGTTTAAATGTCATGTATAATTCTTTCATTTTTTGTATGCTGTTGAAGTTCATAGTAATTGCTTTCTTGGAAAATTTCCATTGAACAAAAATTACTGTATTATTCACAGGTTACAAAGCCACTACACATACAGCAAGTTACTATCTCGTGATAATATCAAACGTTTTTTCGATGTTTTCTCCTTTGAATATGTATTGCTCTACTCTTTGAATCTGTTATAAAAATAGCTAAGAAGATGTTAGTCAGTTGTGATTTCAGTAGACTTCGAGCTATGCTTCAAGATTCATACTCTCAATCTACAGAACTCTTGTTAGCAGTTTGTCACCAGTGCTATGATTTTAGCAAGTCTTGTCGTATTCTCTTCTGTTCTTTAGGCAGCCTTTGTATTGTTGGCTTGAATGTTAACAGCATAGCCAGGTTAGGGAGGGTAAGCATGTCGTGTCTGTTAGCTACCTAACCTTGCTATGATTCTGAATGTTTATGATAAAGGTGAGTGTGTATATGGTGTTCAGAAATTTGAGTCTCAACTCTTATCAACCAGTGAAACCCAGTTGAAGTTTGTCATTTGTGTTATTGGTTGTTGAGGCATTTGCAAATCATATGATATGTGATTATGAGGATGGATTAGGTGTATTTTTATTCATTTATTTTCACCTTGAATTGTGGTGTTTTGTCTTTCTTGTATGATTTATATGAATACATTTGATCTGTTTGTTTAATGTGAAAGTCTATTTTGTTACTCGTTACTCAAATTATTATGTTGTGGTTTGAAATCAGATGATTTTATTTATCAAGCAACAAAGCAGAAAGACCCACAAAACATTGTTGCTTAACTGAGGTTTCACTGATAGAATGTAGTATGTGTGCCAAAAAATCTAAATGTTGTCAAATGTTTCAAGAACATTACTCTGAGAGGCAGCTCCTTGAGGGTATTGCTCTTCATACTTTAATTGAAATGAATTGAATGTTCCTGGGTGTATATAGATAACAGTGGCCAAAATTGCAAAGTTCAGAAATCAGCCGTGAATGAGGTGATTGAGAGAATGTTTGCAGTACCCAGCAGTTGTTAATAATGAGCATTTTAGATTAAATGTCCCTTCTCTCCCTCTTCCTCCCATCTATCTTGTTTTTTTTGTTTTTTTTCTTCCATATTTCTTGTTTTCTGTAGTGTGTATAACATACACATACTTATTAATAGTACCTGAATGTATGATTTTCTGACCCCATGGAGAACTGGTACATGAAATGAGTTTGAAGATTTTTTTCTACTTTTAGAAAATCTTCCTTGTGGTCAGTGGTTCTATTGATGGTGGTTTTCTCTGTGTCTCTGATGTCAGCTTTATATATGCTACTATGAGCAAGCTTGAATAGTAAACAAGGTGAAGCTGATTTTTATATATATTTTAGTGTCACTCAATTCTGTTGTTGCCTTTTTGTGAATGAACCAAAGCTTCACATTAATAGGTTTGTGATAGTTTGTTGTACTTACTGTTATTTATTTAGCAAATCTTCATTCTCCAATAGTTTAATTGCTGGTGCTAAACACTGATTCTAGTGCATGTAAATAGCTCAACATCTGTAAAAAAAAATAATTTTTCTGTTTTTCATGTCCTGTGCATTGGAGATATTTTATATCACTGTTCCTTGATTTTTTCACCATTATTTATGCTATAGAGATTACATTACCTGTGTTATTTGTGAGTGCCCATACATACTCCTCCTTCTCTTTGCACGAATGTCTCATTTAACTTTTTTTTTCAGATTTTTATGCTTTATCTTCATTTGTTTTCAAGAAAACTGTCATTCTTTCTTTTTATGTACTGCTTGTGTTATTATTTTAGTGTGAGAGTTTTGTAGTCATTACTGCGTTTCCAACTTGCCTCTGTATCCAATGAAGAGAAGTTGCAATTGGAGTAATTGAATTGGTGTTGCCCAATTAGCTAGCTTGGAACCAAAGAATAACTTTCCATAGAATATTCTGCATCATTATTGCAATAAAGAGAGAGAGAGAAAGAGAGAGAGAGAGAGAGAGAAAAAGTGACTAGTTATCTGAGGAATGTAATGCAGCATATAGCAGTGGTGACTTTAATGCAGTGACTTGTATACTTTTATATTTTCTCTCTTGATATATTGATTTATACTTGTATTCTCCTTTCGTTTTTACTTCTTTCTTCTCATAAACACAGTGACTTATATACCCTTTTAAATAAAAAAATTAGTGACTTATGTATACTTTTATAATCTTTATTTTTACTTTATTTTATTTCATACAGCATAAGTGCAATATATACAGTATATACATACATATATATTTCTTATGTTCAGTCTCTGCAGCTGATACCTGATTCAAAATTGCAGTCTTCTGAAGTTCAAATTCACAAGCATGGATGGTTGCCTGGTGAATGTGTTCTGACTGGCAGTGGATGAGTGGAGAGAGTGCTGGATGCTTGGTAAATAGTGTTTGATTCTTTGAGGCAGGTTTTCCTAAGCTTGATCAA